CCACATATTCCTGCCAGTTTTAATACGTATTTTGTAATCAACAAGTGTGTAACACCGGTCAAAGTTTGACACTTCTCTGGCCATTATCTCCGTAACCGTTCAACTTTGGACATAGGTGTTTTGGGTTATATCGGCATACTTTAACATAAGGAACACCCTCCCGAAGTTTGGTCCATTCCTCCTGGGACACCCTGTATATATATATATCAATATATACTATAAGGCTTAGGCCATGCCTTAGCTCAAGGGGTTAGTTGCTGGATTCCCACCGCGGCGGCCCGGGTTCGATCCCGGGTCTGGTCAAGTGTGAATTATGGTGGAAAAAGTGGCGCTGGGGCAGATTTTCTCCGAGGACTTCGGTTTCCTCTGCCAATCTTTATTCCACCAATTGCTCCACAATCACCATCACCTATCATCTGGGGCTGGTACAATAGGCCAGAAGTGGCCACAGTACAAGGGACTTAGTCCCACCCCACTAGCAATAAAAACAAATACTATAAGGCTTGGCATAGCAGACCATGCCCTAACTCATGTAGCTCATGTTACAATGACTGCCTAGTCACCTGATCCGTCATATGCTTGACCGCTGCCAAGCTTACAGGGTTTGTCCGAAAAGTAATGTCAGTGAGTCGATTAAAAAACATGTATTGATTAGATCGGTACAACACATTAAAAGGCTTCAAAATAGGCTCCTTCTGCGTTGATACATCACTTCCAGCGAGATTTCCAGGCATCGAAGGCGTCAAGGTAGGCCTCCTCTGGAATGTCCTTTAGAGCCTTGGTGCAAGTCTCTTTGACTTCGTCAACTGTCCCAAAATGATGTCCTTTCATGGGAGATTTCAAGCGCGGAAACAAAAAGAAGTCTAGGGGAGCCACGTCAGGACTGTAGGGTGGCTGGGGAACCGTTGGCACCTTTGAATCAGTCAGGAAGCGGGTCACAAGGAAGGCAGTGTGGGCTGGCGCATTGTCATGGTGAAGTTCCAATCGTCGGCGATGTCGGGCCAGATGTGATAAACCTTTCGTTTGAGTTTCTTTAGCACTTCCACTTACAATTTGGCGTTGATGGTTGTACCATGTGGTACAAACTCATGGTGGACGAGCCCCCTGATGTCAAAGAACACAATGAGCATGACCTTAACCTTTGACTTGCTCATTCTGCCCTTCTTGGGGCAAGGGGATGCTGAGGTGTGCCACTCGGCACTTTTCCTTTTTGTTTCGGGGTCGTACTCAAATACCCAAGTCTTGTCACCTGTGATGACATTGTCTAAAAAGTGAGGGTCACTTTCACACAAGTCCAAAAGTTTTTGGCACGTTTCAACTCTACGCGATTTTTGGTCGCCCGTTAACACTTTGGGCACCAGCTTTGCGCACACTTTTCGCATCTGCAAATTGTTCATCACAATCTCGTGAACGGTACTTTTTGGAATGTTTAATGCCTGTGCCATTAAACAAACACTCAAACGACGGTCTGAGTTCAAAATTTCTCTCACATGCGTCACATTTTCGTCGATGGTGCTTGTTGATGGCTGTCCAGCGCGGGCTTCATCGCCGAACTCTTCACGGCCTTCTAAAAAGGCCTTGTGCCACCGGTAGACCTGATGTTCCGACAAACAATCATTTCCGAAGGCTGTCTTTATCATGGGAAAAGTTTCCACTGCAGACTTTCCAAGTTTCACACAAAACCTGATGGCAATCCTTTGTTCCAAGGAGCGCTGCATTGCAGCTTGCACGGGAGACAAAAATGAGTTTCACGGAAAAGCCTTTTGTCACTCTCAGGAAGTTCGGAGACGACTAAGCAACCACACGTTCATAAGCTGACTTCCCCCTCCACCGATCCCAACTGGTCTGAGCGCGCTGCGACGTATAGTCACTTCACAATAAAATCACTGACATTACTTTTCAGACAAACCCTGTTAGCCTCTTACATGTTCTGTGTTGGTCTCTGTCTTTTCTGATGTTGTGAACATTTGCCTTTTCATGATTTTGTATGACCTCTGCTTGTTGCCTGCACAATTTTGTTACATACTCATAAATATGTTCTTGAGTAGCTGCAGATTTGGCTTCTCCTCGAGAAGGACTCAGCTCCGTTAGTAAGTACGAGTATAAGTAATCATAAATATGCAATACTTTGAAAGCCAGGTGAAACTTGCAGACCGGTTTACACTTTGGAAATTTACCAGTGACATGAAGAATCTTGTTTTCTAAGCACTGGAATTTCAAAAGGTAGGGATCTGCAGCAAATTCCCAGGTGGAGCAAGTGTTAAGTCATTACTGACATAATTAGTGCATTATGGAGGGTTAGTTTAATGATAACGCTTAATTCCTCACTTTTTAATAGGGAACACTCTCAAATAAATGTTCTGAAGGCCTTGGCTTTGATCATTTCTATATACAATCTCCACGTAATCCTCTTACTGAAGATTACACCGAACTGGCAGGGGAAACCAAAGAACTTGGAGAAGACCTCCGCAGTACCACTTTGTCTACCACAAATCCCACATGACCTGACCTGGGATTGAACCTAGGCCACCGTGGTGGGAAGCTGGCGACTAACCACCTGTGCTATGGCATGGCCACAATAAGAGAGGTTACCGAACATTTTATTTTATTTTATTTATTTATTTATTTATTTATGATTTATTTAATAACACTGTAATTAACTCTGACTATAGAGTTCCTAGAGGTAGAATTGCAAGTGATTAATAAGTCGAAAATGATAAAGAAGGAAGCAGTTGTGGCATATTTGATAGATACCTCCTTGCACTATGGGATTGAGGAAAACCATAAAATACTCAGTCAAAACAGCAGTCTCTGGGCCAATATTTGAACCTGGGATCAAATGCAAAGCAGCTGGGTGTAATGACAACCATTCCAAGGAACTGACTAAAACTTTACAACATACAATACCCTCACCTCATCACTGAGCCGCAGGTTTTATCACAGACAGCGCACTTGGCAGATACAGGCAGGTTCCCTTCCATCCACTGGTGAGGCATTGTGATGTTCTGCAACATAAAGACTAATCATGTAATCTGTACCTAATGTTTTGAAACTACTTGAAATTACTTTTCTCTAGGGAATTTGCTAAAGTAAACAACTTTGGTCTGTAGTGTGGGGATTTGTCGTTACTCCAATGACAACCCACTTCTTCGGAAAGTTTGTAGGTCCTGAAAAGGACTGTTGGCTGCTGGGATGTTTGGCCGGTGAAGTAGCGCTATGTAAGCCAGTAGAAATGATGTCGGATTTGGTGTGTTGCAGCGGCAGCTAAGTTAGTAGTCTGGCCACAGAACGTGATTGCTGGATGAAGCCTGTTTGCGGAGCGCGGTCGCTGGAGTGGCGGCAGCTGTGCCAGTTGCCCAGTGAGTCAGGCATGACCGCCGGCGAGTCGAGGCAGCCAGTTGCCCAGTGAGTTGGGCATGACTGCTGGAGAGCTGAGGCAGCCGTGCCTGGCGCAGTGAAGTGCCGATGCCTCTGAAGACCGATGGCTCTGGACGAAGTGTGATAGCTGAGCGAGTTGACTGACTGAATGCGTCTCAGTGCTGCTGGGTTGGAGCTGCGCCTTTTTATGCAAAGCGTGATGGAGGAGCGAAAATTTGCTGAGCGCTGATTGGCTAGCGCAAGTAATGACTAGACAGTGAGTGCAGTGTAAATGTGAGCGTTGGAAGCAATTTGATTGGTTAGCACGCGTGATGGTGAAAAGTGAGCGCTGTAGAAATAGCGTGATAGTATGTGGGATGTTCCCACACTAGAATTAATTTTACTTTAGCAAAAAGCACAAGTGCATTAAAAACTGATATAAAGGGTATTTTCTAAGAAAAAGGTTTCTAGAAGCTTAAATAAAAATAAGTGTTTACTGTGAAGCAAAGCCAATTCTAACATTCCTGCAACAGCCGAATGCAAGCCCTGGGAGTCATGACATCCATCTCAAATCTAGTGCTTTGACCTGACACTGTATTCAGAAAGGAAGGCTTCAACGAGGTAAGACAATAACTAGACATGAAAGTACACACCCGATCCTCATCCTCAATGATATCCTTGCCAATGCTGCCCAGGGTGGTCCACTTGCAGTTGTTGATGGCCTTGACTGCACATCGCTTATGCACCTTAAACTTGCACACTTCACAGCTTAGTCCATGAGATGCCACACCTGCGGCAGTCATGACAAAGCAAGGTTTTGTCATCACATCAACAGTGAAACCATGGCTCATAATAATATATGATTAAATGAAAATGGAGGGGAAGGGAGCTGCAATTTATTTTAAGCTAACATCCTGAAATTACTCTGGAAGGATTCAGAAAAATTACAAATGCCACCAGTCAGGATATTTGGTTCCAGCCTGGATTCAAACTGGGTTCCTTTATCCTACCTCACTTGGTAAATACTGATGTCATAAACGTGAAATTTATGTCACCTTTCAAAAAATTAAGAAGTAATTTTATTTTTGAATCACTTGTATCATCTTCAACCTTCCCAGTATTAGGACCAGCTGGTCTGTAAAGTGTCGTAAAAACTGATTCTTTACATCTGTTAACAGATTATTTTATATGTGTTTCTTATTCAGCCTATCAGAAAGCAGCCTTTCCAGTTTCACTACAATGCTGTATATGGAAATAGGTATTGCTTTTCATAGTATTTACTGACATTCAGTGGGCGGTATTTCTTAGCGCTTTCATGTAACAAGTAACATTCATCAAACATGTGAATGGGAAACTGGGTGAGCCTAATGATGACTGTCATTGCACATCAGAATGTAAGAATGTTCTGTTTTCAAGCATCATGATCTTCACTCTGCTCAGACACTGTGTTTGTGGATGAAATCAAGGCTGCACATACCTTCAGTAAACTGAAAGATCAATTAAGATAATCAGTTAATTTGAACTGAGTCTGAATTGTATACAGGTGTAAATGGCCAAGGACATCAATGCATCTCTAAACAACCTCTCACTCAATCAAATGAAAATGATCTCTCTCAAAAGTAGAAAGTACAGGCTCTAGTACATATAGCCCATCATACAGTCTGCAGTCTGAAACCAATGTCTCACAGACCCTTTTGTTTTCAACAATAAAATTTTGCCTTCAGGGTCACTGACTCTGAAGCTCCAAAATGGCTCTAGATGCACAGTCAGGAGTTTGCGGTGGTACTGAAATGAGTAGCACCATCAATTCCTTTGAGATCTGACTCTGAAAGATGGGACTTCACACAGAATGGGGGGACGAATAATATGAAAAAATACAACTGAACTAAAGACACTGTTACAACATTCAGGTTTCAAATTTTTCCACATTATCAATCAGCATGCTAGATTTTAAAAAGCACTTGATACTACTGTAATAAATTAATGCACCCAGCCCCAGTCTTTATATTGTACTACAGTGCAGCCTGCTTTGTATTGAGGCCAGAGTCCCATAGAGCATTGCATGCACCTGAAAGTGCATCCTTGCACACGTTGCAGTATGTTGGTCGGGCATGTGATGTGGAATACCAGCGGTGATTCCCTAACCCTATGTCTTGGTAGTCACCAGTCTGAAAACAGAGAAATAGGAACAGTGCAGTGACACAGTGGTCAATAAACATGCTAAGCCCTGGCTAGACACATTTATTTACAGTCAGTAAGGGGACCAGCTATGAATGGCAGGGGTGCTGGAGTCTTTTCTTAACCCCCACTGTACCAAAATCCATCCAACCCACCGATGGTACTGGGAGCTCTTTTCTCAAGGTTAAAGTAGTCAGCAAGTGAAGCAAACAACTGTCTCTAAATGGGGTCAAACTGTCTGCTTGTAAGGCGAACAGAGTTTTATGTCTGCATTCTTCATGTATACCATAATGGCATCATGCTTAGAGGATTACATCTTTACATTTATAACTCCAAATTCTGAATGATGTTATCCATGCAGGGTACTATCTTCTGGAATAAATGATTAACTACATAGCATCACATCCCAGAAGATAGTACACTTTACAGTCACCGCTGTGAGAATCTTAACTCTCACATGTTTTACATGTTTGTGAAGCAAAATCTCTCTTGTCCTGAGAGAAGAGCATGAGTTGCAATTATTTCAAGACAAACTATTAAGTAAAATATTCATATGTGACAGGAATCACAGACATTTCCAAGGTTTTTTGTGTAGCCACTCAGCACAGAGAGGAACAACATTAGCTATCACCAGACATCTCACCATATACGAGGGCAAATCGAAAAGTCTTTGCCCCTATTTTTTTTCAGCCACAATAATACACATACAGGGAAATCAAAATACAGGCAGTGTTCTGAGTACCTTTGACTATTATTCCACATAGTCACCACTCTGGTTCAGGCCTTTGTCCCATCGCACCACTAGTTTGGAAATGTCACTGTTGTAGATTTCGGCCGGTTGAGTGCAGAACCACCACTGGACAGTGGTTTTCACGTTGTCATCAGAAATGAATCTCTGGCCTGCCAGGAACTTCTTCAATGGACCGAACATGTGGTACTCACTGGGGGCGAGGTCTGGACTATATGTTGCATGCTCCATAATCTCCCATCCGAATGACTGCAGTCGGGCAGCAGTCCTGTTTGCCACATGAGGCCTGGCGTTGTCATGGAGGAGAACCACATCATCCAAGAGAATCCCCGGGTGCGATGGGACAAATGCCTGAACTGGAGTGGTGACTATGTGGAAAAATAGTCAAAGGTACTTTGAACACTGCCTGTATTTTAATTTCCTTGTATGTGTATTATTGTGGTTGAAAAAAATAGGGGTAAAGACTTTTTGATTTGCCTTTGTATTAACATTAATACAGATATGTATCTACCAAAATTAGTTGCAAACAGAGTCTTGAAGGACTAAAACACAAGAGTGGAAACAGATTCTTTGATGCATGCTTCACTGGCCTTCATAATTATTTTCTGCTGGTAATATTTACTGTTGCGAAACTATTTGCGTTACAGATATCATGTTTCACATTTCAAAGTTATTTTTTATTTCTTATACTTATTCAAGTGTACATAATATCAAAAATATTTCTATTGCAATTACAGACTTATATTTTACACCATGTATCAACTTTCAGAAATAAAGCCAGTTTTGAGACAATCTATGAAGTTCAATTTCAGCTTCATGTAAAGTAGAGGTTAAATTACATTAACATAGAAGAAATAAAATTCACCAAGAACTTATACTGTAAATCCCCAACACTAAATATTACGAATTCATAAATGAAATGTGCACAAACATAAAGAAAAAACAACCTTCCAACATTATTCATTTTACGTGTTTTGTGTGATGAATATGAAAAAAAAAACTGCATTTCTATTATTTTATGGTGGCCATTGATTCTGGCTGCACAAGGAACTTCAATAAGTCCACTCTGAAAAACTCACTCTCAGAGTCATGTGTGTCAGTCTACTGATAGCAGTATGTGAGTATGGAAGACGATGAGTGTGGAAAGTATACTACAGTAATATTAGCAAGAACAAAACATTAGTTTTCAAATTCCACCTATATCTGTACATTGTAAGGGAAAACTGTTCACGTGTAACTAAACAGGTAGAGTGGTCAGTCGAAACTCTAGTGTCAACAACAGTAATTATATTGTATGATGCATCAATAATGATGTCATAGCAATTAATGGTAAATGTTTCCCAACAATCAAGCTGTCACTCTCCCTTCTTCTACCATCAATACTGGCACTCAATGGCTCCCTTTTCCCCACTGCTCTTGGTTTCTTCCACTTTTACACTTGCTACAGGCACCATAAAAAGCATTCATTCCTCCAATAACCAGCTCAATTCATTTACTTATTTATGGTGCTACAGAAAATTTCATGATGCAATTGATGGTGTTTCTGAGCAGGGTACTGAAGAGACTATTTGGACTTATGAAAGAGGAAGTAACAGGATGAGGAAACCTGAATGGAAGACGATTTGAGTGATGTAAGTATAAACTGGAGGATAATATTAAGCCCATCAAACATTTTGAAGTGAAGGTATGAGTTAGATTCATCTGGTTCAGGATAGGATTGGATCTCGTTAACTTTTGGATTCCAAAGATGGTGACGAATTTCTTCACTGCTGAGTGACTATTAGTGTCTTGAGAAGGATTCTGCACCTTGAAGATGGTTAACTAATTACATATACATTTCTACTGTAATGGATTTGATCAATAGGTTGCCAGGTAACAGCTCTGTAAACAAGGTCCAATACGCAGCAATAGAGGAAGCTTTCCATGTCCATGGTGATGTCACATAACAGTGGACAGAGACCATGTGATGTGTTTTCTGTAGATCCAATGGGCCAATACTGTCTGGATAGCGATCATGTTATATGTGTTTACTGCAGGTTCATGTCCATAATGCGGCTATATACAGGAGTGACAGAATTCATTCAAGGCAGTTACAAATTCCGAGTGATTGATAAGGTTGAGGAATTCAGGAGACTTTTTTAATTGAGTTCCGAGGTTCAAGGGTGATTGCACAAGAAATGGCAAGAAGACTTCATAGTGATTTGAAGTGCTGGTTTCTGTGCTGAGATCTGTTGCCAGGAGATGAGTAGTGGAAACTGAGAATCCTAGTGTGTGTGCAATGGTGAACTGGAAAGGGAGTAAATCAGCGATAGCGCTGTATTAAATATAATTAGGAGAACTTGTAAGCCAATTGATGATAAATCCAATCATCCAATGTAGCACCCGTTATTTTCATCATGTGTACATCCCTACACTTGACAATGCTGTCTGTGATCATGTGTGTGTGTGTGTGTGTGTGTGTGTGTGTAGTAGGCACTTTTAACCACTGACTTTCTAGAAACTTCTATTCTACAGCAGTGTTACTTTCCTTCAAAATCTGATGTTCCCATTGCTGGTAAGATTACTTGGCAGAAGAAATTAGTTATCAAGATGACATTATCACTAGACTTAAGAAAATGAGAAAGGAAAGTAACAAAAGAATATCTGGAGATAAGGCAAATAAACAGAGAAAGATGTGCAGAAGATAATAAGGGCAGAAAGGAAAGAGGCAGAAATGGTAAGAAGGCTGGAGAAGCACATGCCAGATGTAAAAGGCAAAGGTAAAGTTGCCCCTGTGCTTAAATAATTAAGCACTATGCCATGGAGATGTATAGGGGAGTGGATGTACAGATCCACATTTTCTTGACCTCGGCACTAGTTGCAGGTGAGTGGTCAGCTTCACGCCCCGGCCACTCTAGCCCCTGGAAAGAGCTCCCGGTACCCATTGTATAGGAGGATGGATGGACCCCAGAGCCGGTCTAGACGATTAGAGAAATGAAAATTCTTGACCCTACCGGGACTCGAAATCTGACCCCTTGGTCGTCCAGCCCATAGCCAGTCGCTACACAGACTACGCTATCCCGGTTCCAATATGTCAGATGTAATGGCAAGTATTCAGAATACAAGGTAAACAGAATCAGACTTACCTCATAGTACTCCCTGCTGCTTGCAGCCCTCAATGCAGAGGTCCACGCTTCCATCTCACGGCGTGACTCCGCACACATCACTAGTCGCCGGAATGGGGTGATGACCTGCATGCAGAAACCATTAAAAAAAGGCAATGGGAGAGCATAATAGGCACCACTTTCCCTTAAAAAGCTTGAATTTGTAGAAGGAGCAGTAGAATAATAACGCAACTTGATAATCTTTGCGAGCTGAAGTTCTCAAGAGGATTATGATTTCCTGGGATGTGACACTTCTGAGGATGGAGTTAGTACATTCCTCCAAAAACAATGGTACCCACCTACCTAATTAAACGGCGTCACGCACCAGAACCTAGTATTCCATCTTCTTGCATAACATTCCACTCTTCTGGGAGATGCAGTAAAGAATGTCACTGTCAGGTCTGTAACTTTCAACACCCCCACCCCAAAAGAAAAAATTCATACAAAATTTCCAGGCACACTCATGGCTCACAAAATTTTTTACATGCGCCAGCACACAAAAATTCTGGTATTTCAGTAGTGACCTCCTACCTCAAAGAAGCTTCACTACAATCATCTCCGCGGCCTGTAGTCAACAAGCGAACTATACTGACCGAGCGACCGCCGCTTGTCGGTGAAGTTAGTGCCAACTTTTGTGGTTAGAGGGTGTCGCATGGTCAGCGCAAGGGATCCCCACGACTGCTAATCTCGGTTTTGTAGACCGGAGCCGCTATTTCCTTGAAAGAGCTCTTCAATTATCCTCAAGAGGCTGAGTGAACCCCGTTCTCAGAAAATCTGGTAGCACCGGGAATCGAATCCGGAACCTCTGGATTTTTAGCCAGGAACTCTGATCACTAGATGACAGAGGCGGTCACAATCATCTAACTGATGCAAATATAACTGGGGGTGGACAGACGTTATATCCTAATCCACACACTCCTCATGGCGTCAGATATTCAAGATGGTTACTCATCACAGGATACAGGGAAATACACAGTTCTGGAAAGAACTTATGATGCCTAGTTTCATTCAAATACTTCAATTTGTTCGTTGAGTAAAACTACCTAATTCCATGGAGCAGAGTCTGTCTTGAGAAGCTGACAGTCGTTCAGATATTAGGATATTCCTAGCTCCATACGGAACGTGAAGGTTGATTACTGTGTTTATAGTAGGCTGCTTTGAATACATTCTACATATGTTGAAATCTTTTGTTGATGATCAAAATGCAGACTGCCACCGAATCATGCATAATGGAGAAGTAGTCGCTGCAAAAATACGCTTGCAAAGCATGATGCTACAAGCCAAAGGTTCAACATGCCACCACATAAGCCAGTCTCCCCCATCCTAAGCCAGCTCAGTCTAACTTACGTTACGACCTACCAAAAGTGACCGCCTTAAGGTTTATTTTACTCTTCCACCTACATCTTGGTGCATCTAACATTTCTTTCCATGGCGTTTTCCTGTCAAAAAGTTTCGAAGTTTGTTTCCTCCGAAAAAGATAAAGGCAAGTAACAGAAGAAAAAAGGAAGGAGACATGAGGGAATACGATTAAATAAGACAGAGGGAGAAAAAACAGAAGTATAATAACAAAGGGAAAGCGATAAGTTCATGGAGAAAGTAATAAGTTCGGAAAGGAAGATAATATTTCATAAGAGTAATTCATGGTTGTATGACATTAATTCTGATCCCCTGATGCGGCTCAGTGTCTCATTTGCTTCAGTGGACGTTGGCAATGAGCAGGGAAACCAATTACACGCTTGGGGGTGGCATTACAAAAGAGAGTTTTGTTTAAGCATGCCTGTCGGCTCTGAAGGTATAAGCTCGTTGCAATGGGTTGGAACTCGGAGTGAACATCTGTTACATGGCAGGGTGGTGATAGAAATATGAACGAGAGTCTTGTTGGAGCACGCTCAGTACATAAACCTAGTGCTATAAGAGTAGTGATTTTCTCAAAATTAATGAGCCTATTTACAAATACTGTGTAATTCATAATATGCGCACTAACTTCTATTCAAGCCTCCCCCCCCTGTAAACACATGCCACAAGATACGTCCCAAAATAATTCAGGTCTTCAAACTGGACGCTAAAATGAACGGAAACTAATCTAAAATTTAGGCCGCGCCATAGCGCAAGCGGTTAGTCGCTGGCTTCCCATCGCGGCGGCCTGTCTTCGATCTAGGGTCTGGTCATGTGGGATTTGTGGTGGACAAAGTGGTGCTGGGGTAGGTTTTCTCCGAGTACTTCGGTTTCCCCTGCCAATCTTCATTCCACCAACTGCTCCACAATCACCCTCACCTATCATCTGGGGCTGGTACAATAGGCAAGAAGTGGCCGCAGTACAAGGGACTTAGTCCCACCCCACTAGCAATAAAAAAAAATCTAAAATTAAGGGGGCCTGAGAAAATTCTGTGCAAATATATCATATGAAATTTCGCTGAAATCAGCTAGATGGTTGGTGGATGGGCAGACACGATGAAAATGATTTTCAGAATTTTCTCCCTTTCAGAAACCTATCTAAAGGGCTCAAAATCCTGTTCAGCGGCAAGACATACGGTAACAATAAAATAGGTGTTCATATTCATGTTCTAAAATAGCAAACATTATTATTATCAACACAATAAAATATTATTAATGTACCGACTCTCCTCCTCCTTCCCCTTCCCCCCCAAAGGTTTAGGCCATTGGCCTGTTTCCGACTTCTAGAGAACATGTATAGTGTAACGATTCTTACAGCTTAATTTTACAGATGAAATAAAAGATATCGATAAAAACTTCGAGCTAAAGATTTGTTACCAGCTTCTTAACGAACGTTACGGTCAAGTCTGGTTTTAAATCCCGGCCCCAAGAGGGGCTATTTTGACCGAGGTCTTTCGTGGTTTCCTCCAGTTCCTCCAGGCAAATGCAGAAATAGTAGAGCCTATCTTGTATCAGGCATTGCTCGCCAATGATCCTACAATTCGACGCTACATAATCTTAAGCAACTGTTAAATAAACCAAAAAACTCTGTGGCCTGTAGTCCCCAAGCGGACTATACCGGCCCCAGCGACGGCCGTTTGTCGGCGAAGTTAGTGCCAACTTTAGCGGATAGAGGTTGTCACGTGGTCAGCGCAACGGATCCCCACGGCCGTTAATCTCGGTTTGCTAGACCGGAGCCGATATTCCTTGAAATAGCTCCTCAATTATCCTCACGAGGCTGAGTGGGCCCCGTTCCAGACGCACTACTTCTCAGAAAATATCGTCGGGAATCGAACCTGGGACCTCTGGATCTGTAGCCAGGAACTCTGACCACTAGCCCACAGAGGAGATCTGTTAAATAAACTAAGAACAATAAAATTATCAACTACTCGTCATCCGCAAATTTGTAAATATTAATAATTTTTTACATTGCGTCGGGGAAAGAGGATGCCGACCATTGGCGCAGGTTCAGTAACCATCAAACCCATGCGAAGAGTTGAAATGACTCTGTCTGCAAACACCAATGGAATGACGCGGTTCCTACGAATTCTTCAAAAGTCCACCTTGCCAGAGCCGAGTTATTTGATACTGAAATATTTTTTTTTCGAACGTGGATATTTCCCCTCCAATTAGAACTGAAGTCCATTGGAACTGAAAATTGAATTTAACTCACACGCTTGACTGACTCCCTGAGCGTGTCTTATCCGCTGTTTTGTTAGCGCATTCGCCGTGTTTGTCCTAACTCAAGCGGTGATCATTGTTCTTGCATCGTGTTATTGCACCTGAGTTACTGAGCCGCAAAACCACGGCCACGGGTCAACGCCTCAATGTAAAATGTCACAGCATTTTCGGTTTCAATGTTCCTGCCATGTTCGGCCTTCTACTTCAGAAACTTCCTTCATTAGTTTTTTTTTTATAAGATACTTTCGTTATTCTTCTACTTTTTATTTTCGTTTACGTGGGACATTGTGTGGCAAACGTCATGAGTTTCACCAAATGCTTCAGTCACCTTGCGTCAATTCTGAAAAATCCAATTACTATCTCAAAACTTTGTCGCGAATATAAACAGTTATTTACAATGTCTTTCAATCGATATCAGGGACAACTACATGAATCGGAATCCTTCTTGAGAAGCTAACAGTAGCTCAGCTGATCGAGAATTCCCAGCATACTTTTTCAGAACATAAAAATTTCAAATTCTGCAAATAATACCTCGTTAAAGACAACGTAAAGCAATGGTTATACTAAAACACTAAATGCAATTTAGCTCATGGTTAGCGTACTGGGCTCATAGTAGTACCATTATTATTATTATTATTATTATTATTATTATTATTATTATTATTATTATTATTATTACTACTACTAGTAGNTAATTAGAATGATCAAGTTAAGGAGGATGAGATGCGCAGGGCATGTAGCACGAATGGGTAGAAGAGGAATGCATATCGGATATTGGTGGGAAAGCCAGACGGAAAGAAATCACTGGGAAGACCAAGATGTAGGTGGATGGACAATATTAAAATGGATCTGAGAGAGATAGGATGGGATGGTATGGATTTGATTGATCTGGCTCAGGATAGGGACCAGTGAAGAGCTCTTGTGAACAGGGCAATGAACCTTCGGGTTCCATAAAATTCTGGGAAATTCTTGAGTAGCTGCACAATTGGCGGCTCCTCAAGAAGGGCTTAGCTCCATGAGCAAGTAGTAGTAGTAGTAGTGAGATGGTGGCTGAGTCAGTATTATCACTAGCCTACGGGCTGACCAACCGAAGAATCGTGGTTCAATTCCTGGCGATGGAAATCTTTCTCTTCACTACCACGTCTCGACCGGCTCTGGACGGTAAGACGGCCGAGAAGTAACACTCACTAACCATTCGCATCCAATGCCGAAGGTTAAGTCTGGAGCTATACCTCCACGAGAAGGCCAAAGGAGGAGGAGGAGGAAGGGGGAGTGGAAGGGGGGAGGAGGAGGTGTTAATTTAACCGTTTAAGGACTCAAGAGTCTCCTAGGTATTATAAAAGAATTCAGTTTGCACCTCACAGGAAACACATCACGTCTCCGCCACAAAGGTTAGGTAGTTCAGTCAATGCTGTTAAGGGAAACACTCGCCTTTTGTGGTGAGAAGCATGTGAAGCTCACAGATATACTTTGTGTGCAGAATGCAGAGTTCTAGTTTGTTAAATAAGATGGTACTCGTATATATACGTAGTAATCACTGGCCTTTAAAGGGTTAAAGATTCTATGTTAAATTTATCGGATATAATACACATATATAACTTCAGAGTTTCGCACAGTCTCCAGGATTGTAATTTCAAACTTATAATCAATATTTCACAGATCTGTGGGAATGTTGATAATCTATCTTCACACAAAATTTCATACTCCTGGTTCGAGTGGTCCATTAGTTATCGCTGTCAGGGTGGATGATAAATGAAAATTTTCACACAGTCGACATGTTGACTCACACTCTACAAAGAAAATTACTTTAACAAAAGTTTCTCTTTGTTTTTCGAAAATATATTAACATATATCATTTCAGAACTCTGCATTAAGTAGTACAGTTAACCCTCGTCCAACTTGTGGGATACGTTCCTCCATAAGATTGCGTTCAGCGAATCCGCGTTCAACGAAAGACCGCATTGGATTAACGGGTGATACGGGAACGCGGACAGCGGAAGTAAAAAATAAACATATATATACTGTAAATGATACTTACTTATGAACAAACTGTGTAATATAAGCAAGTATCATCGAAAAGTTAAGCGTTAAAATAAACTATAACGGAAAGTCTGACTTTAAAGTAAAACATCAATGGAATGTTTGGTACCAAACTAAATACTAGCACAGAGTTCAGCGTCAAACAAACTTCCCATAATACTATAACGTGTTTGGCAGACCGCGTATAATCGAATACGCTTTGGGCAAATTGGCGAGTAGAATCTTGTGTACTAGTACTGCTTCCACTTCACGAATATGTACGTCCTCCGTAATTCTATTACTTACTTCAGGAAAACAAAACAATGCGAGATTCAAGGTTTTCAGGGCACTTGCTATAGTGTACTGTCTTCTGGGATGTGGGGCCGTGCAATCTGCTACACGGCGTCACATCCCAGACAGAAACGTGAAAAAAGTATTAATATACTGGGGTCTCAAATGGCATAACTTTCATACCAAAGTTGGTGAGAATCAGTCAACTCTTCAGTTGAAGTGTGTGTTTTTGTGGGGGGGGGGACAAGCAGCCATCAAGTTGACCTCACAAGTCCAGCATCTATCTTTCAGAAAGGAAGTATGCTAATAACCAGCACGTACTTTCAACCCTCGGAAAAAAGAAAAACTAAACCAACAGCACTGTCAGTTTCACACCCCTGGTTTTCCAATGGCGTGTTGGAACGGGGCTTTGGAGAATGGGCTCACCTGGAAGCTGTGGTTCACGTTCTTGATGCTGCACTCGGCGAAGCTCAGGTCACTCAGGTCGATCTCGTCAAAGATCACAGCCTGCAAGATATTGTGCGTATTGTTAAAACATTCAATATTGCATCCCTCACAACAAAACTCGGGGGCTGGGTGTGCTTGCGGGCTATTTAACAAATGTACATCAATTACCGAATTTTCTATTCTCCACAGCGTCCTGATCGTCTCTGGAGCCCACCCAGCCTCCTATCCAATGGGCACCGGTGTGTCTTTCCCAGTGGGTAAAGCGGCAGGGGGCGTGAAGAGGTCAAGAACGGTGGCGCTATACTCCACTCCCCCACACGTCTACACGGCGTGGTTCTTAATTAATTAAGAGCAGGGACAGCTTTATCTATATATGAACTACAGTGGATATGAAGCACTGAATGAGATAATGAGATCTGAGGGTGACTGTGAATGAAGATATATTTAGTTAACGTCTCTTTACAAAAGCTTCGTACACTATACGTGCATAGCGTCTGCGGCAGAAATGTTACGAGTTTATGGGAATAATCAGTTGTGACTTACTTCAAGGTACTATCCCATTAATTGCCTGGTAGACTGAAGAAAACGAAGAACTTTTCAGGAATAGGGGGGGGTCTCCAGGCCATAATTAGATGGGGAAACCTCCAGGATGTAATTAAGACATGCTACCGCCATAAGCTCATTCCTCTGCACACCGATGTTTATGCCCAGAAAAGAAGTAAATACAAAGCAAAGTAACGACATAGAGGTTCCTGTGTCTAGGCCGTGACTGTCCATGGGGCATGGAGTAAAGCTCCAGGAATTTTTACCATTGGAATTAAATTTAATGAGCATAAGCATCGCCCCAGGGGTCGACTCAGCCTCCAACAGAAATGAGTACCATGAATTAATTAATTAATCGAGTAAAGCGCGGCCGGCGCGTAAGGCTGACAACCTTACCGCCATCTTTGAGCCGATTGTCTAGATAGTGTGGAACCCTCAACGTCTCACAAACCTATGGGCCTTCAAGGCCTGGTACAGGGATAGCTTTACTTTTACTTTACTTTTATAAGAATCGCGTTTACCCCAGAGGAAGATCTCTCATTATCAACCCCACAGTCAATCTGAATACAATGGTGATTTACACTCTACATTTATGGTTTATTTAACGACAGTTGTAATACCTCATACTATACACCGTCGAACCATAGGAAGATGGCGAATACTGACTTGGAAGGAAACGGTCGGTGCTTAATTTGAGGAAAACCACGAGGATTCTCAGTCAGTGTTGTCGGTACCCGGGTCGAGATTCGAACTGGGTTCTTCCCGAATACAAGGCAGAAGTGTTCAGCTGGAACCAACCTAATCTGTCACAGTGGCGGTGAAAAACAGCTAATTAAATGCCTCTGTTAGGAATTGAAACCATACTGTTCGGTCATAGTATCCGCGTTCAAATTCGCAGCTTTAACACCAATAATAAGAGTGTTATCTATGTAGGACACCGCAAAGCATCGCATAGGTCTCAATGGATGTAGCTAGCAGCCGATTCGTTCAACGTGCACGGTATACACGGCGCGGGAGTGACGTCATACGCAAACCAGGGCAAGCACAAAGACGAGACAGCTGATTGTTATGACTGTACTATTCAGCTGTAAAAACAACGGCACGCTATCTGCCGCACATCCCATTAACAAAACAGAAACGGCGACATGACGCATCTGCTTCGGGGTCTCCTGCCACGCACATGCGCAGGAGCGCAGTTAGACTGATGTTCTCATTAGTTAAACAAACGAGGCTCTGACGACCGAAACACTGAGTTATAAACAATAGTTACGTTCCCACCTCATGACTCGTGGTACGCGGGTTCAAACCCGGCGGAGGTCGTCGAATTTTTAAGGGCGGAAAAATTCAGGGAACAAGTCCTCCGGGAGGGACTTTAAGCCGTGTGTCCCGTGTCGTAAAAAGAACCTCATATCTCCAAAGGAGGTCACTGAACCAAAATTCAAGGACGTTTCCCGCCCAACAAGTAGTCTCTAACACCTCTGATAGATGGGGGAAGCATTATAGATACCGCCAAGCTAGTGGAGGCCGAACTCGCTGGCTCGGTCGGGACTGATGGTACGCACCAATATCGGTAGGATACAGAGACTGGTAGAATATCATAGAGGGAAGCACAATGGACCAGTACTTGTCTAAGTGCATGGGGAATCCCACTCTCTCCAATAAGTAAGTAACTAACTAACTAACTAACTAACTACGTTCTGCCGGATCGCGGAACCTAAAAGTTTAAAGTGCATTTTCAAGGGCTGCGACGAAAATGTCCTCCTAACATTAATAATCTACACAAAATTTAAAAAAAATTAAATAAACTTAACTGCGGTGCTGTCTAGGCTCAGTAGGGAAATATGTTGTGGTTCTTTGCGATATTGCATTTCTGTAGATGTAAAAATCCACTGTTGTAGACATAAAAGCAGTTGCAAAAATCTCACGATATATCTATACATCACAATGCATATGTACGGAAATTATTTCTCTATAATCAATTTACTACCGGTACTACAGAGGGCACGCGATAGCGTAGTTGGTTGAGGCACTATGCTACGTGCCGACAGGTCGCGGCTTCGAATCCCGATGTCATTAGATTTTTTAATAGATCTAATCCTTCCAGCAGCACTATGGCCGTGAGGTCGACTCAGCCTCTAACAGAAATGAGTACCAGGAATCTTCCGGGGAAGGGTAAAGAGCGGCTGGCGCGTATGGCTGACCTCACCGCCATCTGTGAGCCGGGTATCTAGAGAAAATGTTGGAGAATCGACGTCTCACAACCCTATGGGCCTTCACGGCCTGTTAAAGAGATAGCTTTACCTTTTTCTTTTTTTGCCAGTACTACAATTCGGTCTTATATTCGAAACATGAAACATGTTCAGGTGCCTGTGGGGTTTTTCTCCACACTGTCACATTACATTCACTTCTTGGCGCTGTTAGTGCGTCTTGGCCACACAAGGCCGCCATCAGGTGTACCTACATATTGTTAGGTTGGTGAAGTGTATTGTTTCTCTTTAAGTGAAACATTAATAGACGTTTACATTAAAGATACTAGTCAAAAATCCGATGTTAATTTAACGTCGCGAAATATGAATGAAATGTAGGCCAAACAATTAACTGGTCAACGTCACAGGATGCTCAAATATAATATTATTTAGCTTTGAATTTTATTCAATATTCACTACGTCGAAATGTGTTTCAAATAAACGTAGATCTGAGTGACATCTGTATTTCATGTCATGAACACATTCTTGTACGACGAGCCGTTTATGAGAAAACAGACAGAATCCAATCTAAGCTTCATGTAAAACAGATTGTTATGCTGGACAGAAATGAGCTAAAATTCAATTCTGCCAACATTATTTTAAGTTGACGCGTAGTAGGCCTAATGAAGTTAGTTAATCGAAATCCGTTGAGTAGATTCGTAGATAAAACAAGACTATAGACAGGCGGATGAAAACGCCTCCCACCGAGCAGGTCTGTATACCTGTATACCTGTAGACCTGTAACGATACAGAATTGACAGGGGGTTGCTTTCATTCTTTGTTTGCTTGTTTCTTGTTCAGGACGTGCTGGTTTCGAATCTCGGCCAGAACATCGGTTAAGATGACTGGAGTTTTCGCGGCTTCCCTTGTAATTTTTTTTTTGTTTCGTCTGGTGAGGTGAGACTGAGTCCACTTGGTACGTCGGCCACTATTTGACCTATTGTACTAGCCTCGAATGACAGACGATGAGCGTGGAAATGCAGCATACAACCACGATGGCTGAAGAAATGTGAGGAAAGTGAAGAAAATACTTAAAAATTGTTAGATAAATGTAGTAAACATCATTGCTTTGAACGAAATCTTACAATTTTTTGTTTTATATATAGCGCTTTGCAAATTTTTGAACTACCATTAAGGAAACAAGAAATATGGGGCATAATTCATAAAGCCTGCATAGCTATATGAGAATGTTGCACAATATACGAAGCACGAAAAGGAAGTCTCAAATCTGAGACAGCAAAATATATTCGCGAGTTCCAAGGGACTCGGACCCGAGATAGACCGCGCTGGCAAGGACCAGCAGCATATGCAAAAGACAGATCCGTGCTCTCGTCAGAGAGGGCGCCCACAAAAATAAGACCGTAATTGTCAAACGGTAATAATTAATATCTGGTCACGAGCCCCAGATGGGGCTCTACACCAAGACTTACTGACTGACTGACCGTCAGTCGCAATGTGACTTCCACCAAGCACGACACACAACAAATACAACTTCATTCTCAGCTGCTTCCAGAGTTGAGTACAAGAAGGAGTATTCGTGATGTCACTGCATACGCGCATAGAAGACCTTACTCTGGCCAAGAGTGTATTGCATCTTACGCACTTTGAGCAAAGAACGTACATAAGATACTAGAATATCTTAATCTGTGGCTCCAGTTGTGTGCACTCATGGCAATTCCTGCGGAATATGCTTCCGTGACTACGAAATAGGGGCTGGGACGAAGTATAACACAATTTTACACTGAGTACAAAGTTCTTGGGCTTCTGCCCCAACATCTGCTTCACGGCGGGGGTATCGGCACAGCCTGCTGAAAAATAAAAGCGCTACTACAAAACTGTGACCATGGAAACGTCAGTGGCTGTGTTTCCGGTCGCTGCTTCGGGGAAAGGTCACAGGTCACATGACATATCGCAATAATGACTGTCGATATTCTGACGTTTGAAGCAAACAACGCGGCGCGCTATTCACACACCACTCACCGATGACAGAACATTCCTTTCTAAGAAAACGTCATAATGCGGAAATCAAGTTAGCAGAATAATTTAATCAATTCCAAAAAGCAGAGACCTTCTATAAATTCGAATGTACATTACCATGTTCACAAGAGCCTGCCACTGATCCATAACCTGGGCCAAAAGAATCCAGTCAAGAACCTCAAATCTTATTTATACGAGTTTTAATGTTATCGCCCCCAATAATGTCTAGCTCTTAAGATAACTCTTCCCTTCAGGTTTTCAGACTACAACGTTGTATCCATTCTTGTCTCTCTC